GTGGGGGCCTAGGGCGCTGCCGCTTCCCCGGCGGACCCCGTCCCAGAACTGCCGAGTTAACGGCTCGTCCGGCCTTTCTGTTCCAGGGTGGGCCGGTGGAGATCCTGCCGTTCCTCTACTTGGGCAGCGCTTACCATGCCTCCCGGAAAGACATGCTGGATGCTTTGGGGATCACGGCGTTAATCAATGTCTCGGCGAACTGCCCCAACCACTTTGAAGGGCACTACCAGTATAAAAGCATCCCCGTGGAGGACAACCACAAGGCAGATATCAGCTCCTGGTTTAACGAGGCGATTGATTTCATAGGTAAATGAGCTCTCTTTACAGTCTGTTTTGTTGTGGTGGGTTGTTGGTTTTTTCTTTGTAATGCACCCTAGGAAGTGATTTTTCAGGCATTATTTTCCCCAGTAAAACCTACATCTGAGATTGGGGAATTTCCTTCTGTTGGGGAGATATAATCAGGGAACATCTTGTTTAATTTTATTCCACTCAGAGGAATAATCACTTTTACAAAGCCGTTTGAAATCTTGAATCAAGAGGCACTGGGCTTGCAGAAAAGAGCTAGTAAATTTAAGTGGATCAGTATTACAGTAATCTTGCAAGACTGCTAAAGTGACCTGGAGGAGCTATTAGTATAATTGGAATTGGAGCCCAGAATGAAAACAGCTAAACTGCTGGTTCCCTCGGGACAAAGGCTCTTTGTCTCCAAAGCACAGGGTGTACCTATTAGGCTAAGGAAGAGATGGATTAAAGAAATGTAAAACAGCAGTCTGTTTTCCCACCTCCGGAAGCAGTGGGACTTGTTTGCTGACTGTAGATTTTAATTCTTTCAGACTCTGTTAAAAACGATGGAGGAAGGGTCTTTGTGCACTGCCAGGCTGGCATTTCCCGGTCAGCAACCATCTGCCTTGCTTATCTCATGAGGACCAACAGAGTCAAACTGGATGAAGCCTTTGAGTTTGTGAAGCAGAGAAGAAGCATCATCTCCCCAAACTTCAGCTTCATGGGGCAGCTGCTTCAGTTTGAGTCGCAGGTCCTTGCCCCCAATTGCTCAGCAGAAGCTGGTAGCCCTGCCATGTCAGTATTGGACCGAGGAGCATCGACCACCACTGTCTTTAATTTTCCAGTCTCCATCCCTGTTCATACCTCATCCAGTGCTTTAAGCTATCTTCAGAGCCCCATTACCACTTCCCCAAGTTGCTGAGAAGCAGGTGAAAATACAGTCAGAACTCAGACTTACTGTCTCGGAAGTGCAATAACTATGGGGACAGTGTCATCAGTCATTTGTGTTTTGGGGGGAACCATCCAAGCACCACAGAACAGTCTCGTAAACAGAGAGGAGCTCACCCAATGCTGGACAACTAGGTGTTACTTTTCTGGTGACTTTTGAAGCCAATATCTGGATGTCTACAGAGACCCAAGGACACTCTTCTTGAGCTGTTACTTCTTGTCTTCTGTCTGTCCTAAGCCTGCTCCATGTTTAGTAGCATGCTCACCAGTATTCTCATTCCTGGACACTCTGAACAACATTGATGCTGTCCCCTTTTATATGATGGTCCTATTTATTTATTTTTCCATTAGTACATTGTTTTTTGCCTTCACAAACCTAAAGTTTCATTTCTAGAGAAACCAAATACCTCAGTATTTTTTTTTTGGTACTGTAATCCTGTGTGTACATATGTCAGCTCTTCTTGTTCCCAAGCACTGACGTGAAAGCACCAGGCAAGTGCTTTTTTGAGTTGCCAAGGGTTGTATGTTTGCTGATTTATTTATGATGTGAAATAATATATTTCTTCTTATGAAGACATAGTTTTGTTACATGATTATAACTTTTTTATACAAACAGAATAAATTATGATCTTTCTATTGAGCTGGATGATACATTCTTTGAAATCTTGCATTTTACAGTCTCAAAACTGATGTGGAAGTTCCCAGGTGAACAGCTGTTAATAGAAATTTGAATTTTCAACTCTGCTGGCCCCAGATCTTGACTGAACTAGATAGAAAAATGGGTTTAAATGACATAATTGACTAGAAACCTACTTCTGCTTCTGAACATAAGCTTTTCTTTGTCCCTATGTAATTATATGCAGTGGCAAAAAGCCAATGCTGGCTTCTCAGCTGTAAGTGGATTTGGCTGCAGTGATGACCACAGAGCTGTATCAGTCTGAACAGGCTGAAACCTGGGCACAGGGTTATGGTGAATTTAATACAGTTCTTCCCTTAGGAAGGAGGAAGAGACTTCCTTATTGCTTGTTTATTCTTAGGGCTTCAAAGATTAAGTCTAAAAATTAACCTGTTGGTAACAGGTCTTCAAAGCTTGTGAGTTTGTGCCAAGGTGTTTGTGTTTGTGTTTCTTTTTTCCCTGGCCCACCTTCTTCATTCCTTTTTGAAACTCATATTGTCTCTGATCCCTGGAGTGAAGTATCTGGCTTGCTGGTTATCTCTGTAAACAAATTGGGGCACAACAAGAGCTCAGGTAACCAACAAGTCATTTTCTTAGTCAAACTATTTCCTGCTGGAGATTCTCACTGGAGTGACACTTATCTGGCACTTCAGTTGAGGTGGTCAAAAGAGTATTGCAAAAGCCAGGCAGAGAGTTCTAGCAGGCTGGCACTCCTGGCAGCTCATGGGCAGGAGCTGCAGGGTGAGGGTGACAGGCAGCAGACTGGGCAGGGTTAATGCTGTGTGGTGGGACAGAACTGCATCTCTCCATGGGGTGCATAGGGCAGGGTGCATACAGAGGGGTGCAGCATTGCCGTGGAAGTGATGCAGCTGGAAGCCCTGTCAAAAATGGTTTTACTTGGGCAGATACAGCAGGTTATGACTATAAAATCAAGGTACTTGAACAGTTACGATCCTAAGCTTTTCAAAGAGGGCTTTTTAAGCATTAAGCAGCTTC